TAAGCCAATCAGTTTCTTACCTGGAAGGTTGAAATGATGCTAGTCAAGAAATCCTGAGGCTGTGGACAGCCATGTTCTACGCAGGATGCAGAGAAAGTCCATTTTCTGGAAAATAGATATGAATGAAGCAGAATCATAAAGAGGACTCAAAATGGGACTTGGAGACCATCCTGTGGGCATTCCTGTCCCTGATCAACTGGTGCTCGAGAGCGGGTGAACTGGGTTTGTGGGTTTCTGGCTGTCCAGCACACATTGCCTTCCAAAACATGATCCTGTTTCCTTTTGGGGAATGACCTCTCTCCCCTGTCAGTCCCCCTGTGGGGACAGGTCATTCCAAGAACCCACCTCACTTTCCACCCAAATGGCTGCCATGTACAGGTGCATGTCCTGAGGTAGAAGAACTCAGTAGCCTCTCCCAGGGCCTGAATCTGAGCAAGTGACTGATGGGGCCATTCACCCCAGTGCCCATCCAGGGGCTGCTGGTTTTACCCCTCCAGGCAGCCTTGGGCCCAGCTCCAGTTGCAGTCAGCCACCAGCCCTGTGTGCCCTGTCATTCTCCCTAAAATTACATTTACTTTTAGCAAACCCAGAATGTCAATCAACCACGAAAGCCAATCTCCGCTGCCTGGATGACCCTCGCCTCTCCGCCCCAGAGCAGACCACCACGGCTCCTGCCCATACACAGTGGTGGCTGCCAATCTCCACAGCCCCTCTGGTCCCATCCCACATTGCAGCTGGACTGATGCTTCTAAAATACAAATCTGGACAGTCACTGCTCTGCCTGATTTTCAGTGGCTTTCCTTTGACCCCAAAAATCTCAACTCCTTTTTATGGTTTATAAGACTCCCTGACCTACCCTCCAGTTATAAACCTTCAGATTTTTTCCTGCTGACACTCCCTGTTTCACAGGGAGTGCTAGACTTCCCCTTGGGTTTTTCACCACTTATTCACTTCCTCCTTCATTAAACAATGATTTACTGGGCCCCTATTGTGAGCCAGGCACTGGGAGAGCATTAAGACAAATGTGGTGTCTGTTCTTATGAGGCCTACATGGGTCTGGCTGATTCATTTTCATCTTCAAGATCTCAGCCTAAATTTCTGTTTCCGGAGAAAATGCTTCTTCTCCCCAAACCAGGTTAATGACCTTGGTGTGCATGCTGAAATTACCCTGCTCTTCCCTACCATAACGAAAACACATCTTACTGTCGCTTAACCCCTCTTCCCTGTCAACTGTCAACCCATGGCCATAAGCCCTGGGTGTCTTGCTCACCTCTGTATTCTCAAGCCTGCTACATAATAGACAATGAATAAATAGCTGATGAATGAATGGAGAATGAATAAAAATACACTCAGCAAATAATCACACTTCTGTGTTTCTGCATAGGCAAATGAGAGGAGGGCTGGTTCTAGCTGGAAGGCAGCATCTTTAGGAGATTAAGAGACCCTGGAATTTACAATTATATAATCTAATTATTGTCCAGAGGCAGGTGGAATTCCCCAGTTTGCAGAGCTTGCTGCAGAAGGGAATCATGTCGTTGACAAAACACTGAGACCCAGGCCTCTCCCCCAAGAGATTTCAGTTCAGGTGGTCTGGGCTGAGGCTTGAGCAGTAGAAAAAAATACAAAAAGCCTGTCAAGTGATTCTAATGTGCAAGCAGGTGTGGGGCCTCCTGAGATTTGTAAGACCTTGGCCAGATTTAGGTTTGCAGATATGTAAAATAATCTATCAGGCATTCCTGGGTGTTAGATGTGGACCAAGACTAATGACATATCAGAGCTGAAACTAAGGAAATGAAGGCAGAGAAGGAAGCCAGGACCAATTAACTATCCCTCCTAGATTTACATTTATTGAATGAATGAATGAATGAATGGGTCTATAATGGGTAAGAGCAGGTCCTTCTTACTTCTGTGAACTTCCTGGGAATAGCCTTCTTTCTGGACAATCAAGCTAGGAACTACTTATAGGCAACCATGAAAAATTCCTGAAAAGATTAAATAATAGTAAAACAGTAGAATCTTCTGATATCATAGACCCCCATGAGGTTACAGAGTCATTCACTAATTTTCCCATTCACTCATTCAAAATTTACTGAGCATCTTCTATGTGCCAAACACTGTCCTAGATGCTAAGAAGGATACAGCTTGTTTGGGGCTGAACTGTCTCTACCCAAAATTCATAGGTTGAAGTCCTAACCCCCAGCACCTCAGAATGTGACTGTGTTTGGAAATAGGGTTTTTAGATAGGGAGTTAAGTTAAAATGAAGTCATTACAGTTGACCCATATCCAATCTAACTGGTATTCTCATATGAAAAGGAAATGTGGACACACACAGACACAGAGTGAAGACCATGTAAGGGGACAGGCGGGGGAAGGCTGAATCTGCTCTCAGACATCAGCACTCTTGGTTCTCACGTCTTCGAATTTGGACTGAATTACACCACTGGCTTTCCTGATTCTCCCCCTTGCCGATGACAGATCCTAGGTCTTCTCTGCCTCCATAGTCACATAAAGCAATTCTTATAATAAGTCTCCTCTTATACCTGTCTGTCTCTCTCAAATAGATAACTGATAGATGATAGACAGATAATAAATAATAGTCATAGATAGATTATATATAGAAGAGATATAGACATATAGACGTAGACACGGATACATTCCACTGCTTCTGTTTCTCTGGAGAACCCTGGCAAATACATTGCCTCCAACTACTTTTTTTTCAGATTCTCTTCTTTTATTGAATTATAGTTGGCATATATTAGTTTCAGGTGTACACATAGTGATTTGACAATTATGTACATTATGAAATGCTCACCATGACAAGTGTAGTTACCATCCGTCACAAAGTTATTACAATATTGTTGACTATATTCCCTGGGCCATGCTTTTCTTTTTATCAGTATAAGAATTTATTATTTTTATTGATAAGTAAATATTTTATGATTACATAGAAAAAAGCAACAATGTGTTTAGAATTGTACTTCCAGAAAATTGACCTAGCATCATCTGTGCTATGAAGAGAGAGAGTAGGAGTGGATAAAGCAGTTTCATTTGTAAGAATAAACATTATGTAAAAATCAGTATTGAAAATCAGTATTTAACATTAACTTTATTATAATAAGATAGCTCTATGGCAGAGTGAAAAGACATCAGGGTTCTAGTTAGAATTTGCTCTCTAAATAGTGACCATGCCAAGTCATGGTACCATGCTGAAATTTAGCTTTCTGGTCTATAAAATAAGAATTAAGTTATCTGTATCATATTCTTAAGTTTGAGAATAGAAGTTCTGTGGGAAAGTCACTATGGCCAACTGAAATTTAACAGAGGAAATTGCCTTTCAAACATCTTAGCACCAGGGCTCCCCTCTGTAGCATGGAGGAATTTGAAGCATCAGCTCCTAAACAAGCCATTCTGCAACATGTGAATGTACCTACCTTTTTATCACCCTGTGCTGTACTGAAAAGTACTTGCAACTTATTTATTTTACAATTGGAAATTTGTGCCAAATTATCCCCTTCAACTATTTCACCTATTCACCCCATACCCCAACCCCCCACCCCTGTGGCAACCACTGGTTTGCTGTCTGTATTTATGAGCCTATTTTGTTCTGTTCGTTTGTTTTTTCATTTGATTTGTTTTTTAGATTCTGCATAAAGTGAAATCATATGGTATTTGTCTTTCTCTATTTCACTTAGCATAATACCCTCTAGATCTATACATGTTGCCACAAGTAGCAAGATTTCTTTTTTATGAGTAATATTCCATTATATATATATATACACACATCACATCTTCTTTATCCATTCATCTATCAATAGACATCTATAGATATTGCTTCTATATCTTGGCTGTTGCAAATAATGCTGCAATAAACATAGGGAAGCATATACCTTTTCAAATTAGTGTTATTGTTTTCTTCATAGCAATACCCAGAAGTGGAATTACCGGGTCATATAGTATTTCTATTTTTAAATTTCAAACTGTTTTCCATAGTGGTTGTACCAATTTACATTCCCACCAACAGTGCACAAGGGTTCCCTCTTCTCCACATCCTCAACACTTCTTATTTCATGTCTTTTTGATACTAGCCATTCTGACTGGTGTGAGGTGATATTTCAATGTGGTTTTGATTTGCATTTCCCTGATGATTAATGATGCTGAGCACCTTTACATATGCTTGTTAGCACTCTGTATGTCTTTTTGGGAAAAATGTCTATCAGTCCTCTGCCCATTCTTTAAACAGATTAAATTTCTTTTTTTTTGGTGTTGAATTTTATGAATTCTTCATATGTTTTTTATATTAACCTCTTACTGAATATTTAATTTGAAAATATGTTCTCCCACAGAGTAGGTTGCCTTTTGTTTTGTCAATGGTTTCTTTTGTTGTGCAGAAGCTTTTTAGTTTGATGTAGTCCCATTTGTTTATTTTTGCTTTTGTTTCCCTTGCCTAGGAAGACATATCCAGGAAAAAATTGCTAAGGCTAATGCCTAAGGGTTTATTGTCTATGTTTTCTTATAGGAGTTTTATAGTTTCAGTTCCTACATTTGGTACTTAATCCATTTCAAGTTCATTTTTGTGTATGGTGTAAGAAAGGGTCCAGTACACTCTTTTGCTTATAGCTGTCTAGTTTACCCAACACCATTTATTGAAGACTTTCTTTACCCCATGTACATTCTTGACTACTTTGTCAAATATGCAAAATTAATTGACCATACATAGGTAGGTTTATTTCTGGGTTCTCTAATCAGCTCCATTGATCTACATGTCTATTTTTGTGCCAGTACCATACTGTTTTGATTACTATAGCTTTGTAGTATAGTTTGAAGTCCAGGACCATGATACCTCCAGCTTTGTTCTTTCTCAAGATCACTTTGGCTATTTAGGGTATTTTTTTGTTCCATACAAATTTCAGGATGATTTGCTCTAGTTCTATGAAGAATTCCATTGGTATTTTGATAGGCAATGCACTGAATCTGTAGAATGTTTTGAGTAGTGGGACATTTTAACAATATTAATTCTTCCATCCATGAGCATGGCATATCTTTCCATTTATTTGTGTCATCTTCAATTTCTTTTATCTATGATGTCTTATAGTTCTCAGAGTACTAAACTATTTTTAACCTAATTTCTTTGTGTAAACTATAGGTCCTTGGTAATATACAATCCTTTCCATTCTATGAGTGCCCGCACAGGGCTCAAAAAAGTCTCATTTTCTCTTTAGATAACCAACCTTAGTTTCTGTTGCTTGCAACCAAAATACCCCTAATTTGTCCTCTACAAACTAGGGACAGAAAAAATTGTTAAATTAAGTTAAATAAATGCCACCAAGGATGTTTTAACACTTACATAGCCAAGACAGTCCCTTATTTCTCAGGCACAGCCTTGTATTTCATATTAATCTCTCCAAAGCTCAACTATCCAATTTTATCAAACTTTTAAATAAAGAGTAGGAGAATGATTGTTATAGGTCTTTGATGACAGAAAGAAAGAGGTGATAATCTGGACAAAATGAAGAGAGAAAAGCCATAAAATGCAGAGCCAAAAATTCAACAATCACAATGGTTTGTGTTGCAGTTGATCTGGATTAAAGTCCAATATAATAACCATTGTTCATGATGATGTCCTGGATCATTCAGAGTAGGTCTGATTTTCTGATATCTTCCATCTACAAAAGGCATAAAACCAAATAATTCATTTTAGTAATATTTCTAGCCTTAATGACTAAATTTTTTAAAAAATATGAAAGTCTGTAGGATGTTCATACCCAGTGCATTCATACATTCATTCAAGAAATACTTACAGAGCACCTACCATAGATTTGTCACTGTCTCACTGCTGAGGACAGAGGGGAGACAAGACAGATGAAATCTTTATTCCACTGGAGTTTACATTCTATGTGGGGAAGAAAACTTAAGCTTAAATACTTAATAAACAAGATAATTTTAGATAAAAATAAGTACTATAATACATATGGAAATATATCAGAATGATGCAGTAAACAGTACCTGGGGTAGCGGATATATCACATTGGGTGGCCATGAAAGGTCTCTTTGAAGAAGGAACACTGGAGATCATACCCCTCTTCCTGCATTTGCATCCCACCCTCCCATCTCCCAGAGATGCCCCTTCCAACCTTGACTTAGGGAGCCACTGACCAGCTTCCCTGGAATGAGGAAAAGGAAACAAAACAATCACATTCCTTTGCCAAAAAGGCATTTGAGTAAATCCAAGAGTTCTGGTTTCTGGAAGGAAGTTTTTGCATTACTTGGGCTAACATAGTCAATCTGAAGCCTGTCCAAATAAGACCCAGAAAATACATCAGCAATGGGTCAATGGCTCTCAGTGGAGAAGGCCTTTCTATTCTCCCTGGTTTAGCAGTCAAGGATCTGCACCCATACCCAGGAGTTAATAGACAAACAATGACTGTCATTAATTCAGCAGAAGGTTTAAAGCTGCTTTAGCCCTAGCTCTACACCCAGTTACCCAGAAATTCTAGGACCCAGGCTTTTCATGGCCTGACACTTTGACAAAAGCCATGTGACAAGCAACCTCTCAATGACACCTCCAGAGCCAGCAACTGTCCCACTCCGGCTCCAAAGTACAATCTGTGACTCCATTCATGCACTCCGATTGCCAACCCTCCTAGGAAGGTTACTTCTTTGTCCATGTGGACATCTGGCATTTTCCCCAAAAGGCTGGTAAAAAAACTTTCAGAGCTTCCAGCTAAAATGTAGGAGCAGATTCCAGTTCTGCTTCACATGCCTCAGGAATGTGAGTAATCCCATTTAGGAAGATGCTTGATTAAGTTTTTAGAACCCAGATCAATTTGGTCATTCTTCAATCCTTACAGCATGGCCTGTCATGAGACGGAAACATTCCTAATCAAATATTGTCCTAGAGAGGAGTCTGGTTTGGCTGGTTCAAAGCACAGAGACAGGTTCCTGAAAGAAATAATAACAGCAATTCCCACATACAAAGACTCAGGCAGCTAGGACCCTGTGGCTGAAGGAGCCACATGTGCCACTAGACTTCTGGCCTCTGAGAGAAGCCAATATGTGCAAGGCAGCAAAAGGAAGGAACTGTGTCATCAGGCCCCACTGTGCAATTCACCCTCCCCAGCTGCCCAGCCTTGCAGGTGGGAATTCTTAAAAGCAAAATCATGAGCAATTCATAATATGAGAAGTGTGTTTTCCAATCATTTAACAAGTCAGGAGAAAAATCTCTCTTCTGATCTCCCCCTGCCAACACAGCAACCTCCCATGGAATCCAGGAAAGAAAGCTAAGAAGCAGTAGCTCAGAGAATGAGGTGTCCCAGTATTGCAGTTCCAGCACCATCTCCCAGAGCCAGGTCAAGGAAAGCATATGGCTTCGGAGGTGGCAACCCAAGGTGTCACAGTCCTTGTCACAGCAGGGCAGGACAGAGGGATTGACTTTAAGACCAACTCTGGGTGACTTGAAAATGTCAACAGACAAGAATTCACTTTCTAAGTTATATCAAAGGAATATTTTTCCCCTGAGAGTACCTAGTGTGATTTGGCATATATGAATACCTGAATAGTTTCCCTCCATCACTGCTGAGGTGGAACAAAGGGGTCTACAAAGTGTGAAATGGGAAGTGGACGTGGTGGAACTTAATGCCAATTACCGCCCAAGTCATGCGGCTGGGGCTCCCATATCCTTACAGCTCCCCAAATCAGAATCTGATTAGGAGCTATTTTAGACTGCATTATGGAGTCTGCTCCAAATGCTTTCTAAACAAGGGGAATGCTATGGGCTGCCACCCATCTTTTCCTCCAGTTAATCATTTCAAGGACCTGTGTTGTGCACACGAGGTGACTATTAAGCAATTCACCCATTAGGGTATTTCTTTTTAATTTAAAGACTTGGCTGAACTTGAAAAGGATCCTTCCCCCCACCGCCACCCACCCACCCACGTTTTAGTTTAAGTATCTCAGTTCATTTATTACAGTCTGTTAAAGGCATAAATAAGTAAGTTAATGCATTGGTGATAAAAGCCAAGGAAGTTATTTCTACTTTTAGAAAACATATTTGTATTAGGACGATTGTCCTTGATTACAGATCTAGAAACAATTATATACCCTACATTACTTTTCCCAGGTTGAGTTGTTTTCATTGCTTCAGAGGTGGAATAACTCATGTATTTGCTTAATTCTACTTCCTAGCTTTCCAATTTGGTGTATTTCTACTGAAGACCGTGGTGATTCCTTCGTGATTTTGTTTACTGGTGATTTTTGTTGGGGAGGGTCCTGGTGGGGAAGAAGGAGAGGTGTGATGTGAAAGTTAGAAAAGCATTTAGTGATATGTAGCTTTCCTCATATCTTTGCTGATTTACAAAATTACTCATAATAGACATATTCTTTCCCTCCAAACTGGCTTTCCACCTGCATCCATGTATCTGCCCAAAGTCAGAAGCCAGTTAGTTTTAGGATTTTCTTTCAACTTTAATACCCATCCACCTCCAATCAATCACCAAACCCAGTTGATTGTATCTCTGAGCTAATGCTTGGCTCCCAGCCTCCTCTCCAAGAGGAGTGCCAGGTACTGTGGCTGTTGTTCACATCCCTGTACATCTCACCAGGACTGTGAGTACGGGACTGTGTCCAGCCTCCCTAGTGCCAGCCTGGCCTCCCACAAATGCAGCCTCCACCCTGTGCCAGTGTGACTCTCTAAGCATAATCAGAACCCTGGCTGCCCAGGTTTACAAAGTCCTTCTCTGGAAGGGCACACTGAGGACCCTTTCTTGTCTTCCCCAGGCTGGCTAGAGGCCCTTCTCTAAAATGCCCCTTCACCCACCTCCTTTGTAAGGGATCACACTGTATTCGCTGTATTTTAGTTGTAAAACTATCTCCCTCACCAGTCCATGAGCATCCTGAAAGTTAGAAGCATGTCTTTCCCAGTGCTCCAGACAGTGATAAAATGCTCAGTGCTTGTAGGTAGAGGAAGGGAAGAAGGACCATAGGAAGCGCTTTGACCTTCCTGTGTTGTGACACCCCAAAGAAACCACTTGTCACCCTGTCAGCTAACTTCTTAAGAGTGAAAAAAGGGTATCCCAGGGGAGGGGCCATTGTCCAACATCCAAACCACACTCCCATTTGGGGGGATCCCCTCATCACAGGACCCACACTGAGAGGATCCTCATACTTTCCTTAACATTCTACTGTCACTAAGTTGAATTTCTTAAGTTTTTCATGAAGGGCCCCACATTTCCCTTTTTCACTGGGCCTTGCAAATTCTATAGCTGGTCCTTCCTGGTGGGTATGAAAGTCATGGGGGCTTGGGGCTCAGATCCTCCAACTTCCCACCCTATAAGAATAAGACAGACCAAGTCCCTGTCCTCTAATGTGTATATTCACCAAGCATTCATCATCTGAAGACTGAGTGGGTACTTCTTCCCTATCTATCTACTGCTATTCTTCAAAGCTATGTAGTCATTGATGAATTTAATGAAATGCATTTATTTGAAAGATTTCTTAGTTGGCAGTTCAGCATTTTATACATACATAATTGGTAGGAGAGAAAGTCTCAGCTGGGCTGGGTGTTAACATGTCCTTAACACTTTTCTAACCCTCACCAGATTTCCTTGGTAAACAATGGGAAGGCAGCTGCAGGCTCAGGAGCTTCCCCAAGCAGCATTGTCTGGTCAGACTTGACCACCCCTGGTACTTGCCTGCCCCAGCACCAGGTGCCCAGGCATACCTATGCATACCAGTGGATGCGCCCACCCAGGAGACGAAGGGGTGGTGAGGGCCTCTCATGGGGCAGCTGTGACAGTGCCTCTCAGCAGGAGAAGCAACGGATACTGACTATCCCTGCCTGGGTTCCTCTGCTCCTACGCGTCTTCCCAGGCAGCACCTGTGGGCAAACACTGATTGTGAGGGTCTCCCCAGATTTCCAATAGATTCCCTCTTCACCGAGGCAGCAGGGGCGGGCTGCTGCCTCTTGAAATAGGGTGTCTTCCTTCTTAAGAGATGGAAAGGTCACCACCACTTCCTCCGTTTCACTTGCCTCTGTCCCCGTGGAGGTCGGGACACACACCGATAAACAACACACCTGCCTTCAGGAGCACTTACACTTGCTGTGCACTAGCCCCAAGCCCACAGGTCACACATTTTTGCCATTTGATGAGATTCAGTATTGGTTCCCACACTCACCTTTCTCTCTAAATGCTCTTCCAGGTACTAGCAGCTAAGCATTATTTTAGTCTCACCAAGTGCTGCATCCTGAGTGGAGCATCATACAGCAAGCATGAGCACAGAGTCTGATACCAGACCGATAGGTCTGAACCTCAGATTCCACATCTGTGAGATGGGAACAACAGAAGAAGCCACTGCCAGCGCTGGTGTGAAACTAAGTGAGGTAAGGTATTTGCTGTACTTAGGCCAGTGAGAGGTAAGCACTGTTTGTGTTTCCTTCTATGGTTATTCCTTTATCCCTTAATCTCAGCACAGGAGGGAGGTTTTATTATTATAATAAACACCCTATTTTGCATGTAAGAGAACTGAAGGGCAGGAAGATTAAGGAACTTGCAAAACGTCACCTTTAATATGCAATGAGGCCATCAAAAATGGCCTGAGGTGGAAATCAGTATTTAACATTAACTTTATTATAATAAGATAGCTCTATGGCAGAGTGAAAAGACATCAGGGTTCTAGTTAGAATTTGCTCTCTAAATAGTGACCATGCCAAGTCATGGTACCATGCTGAAATTTAGCTTTTTGGTCTATAAAATAAGAATTAAGTTATCTGTATCATATTCTTAAGTTTGAGAATAGAAGTTCTGTGGGAAAGTCACTATGGCCAACTGAAATTTAACAGAGGAAATTGCCTTTCAAACATCTTAGCACCAGGGCTCCCCTCTGTAGCATGGAGGAATTTGAAGCATCAGCTCCTAAACAAGCCATTCTGCAACATGTGAATGTACCTACCTTCTTATCACCCTGTGCTGTACTGAAAAGTACTTGCAACTTATTTATTTTATAATTGGAAATTTGTGCCAAATTATCCCCTTCAACTATTTCACCTATTCACCCCATACCCCAACCCCCCACCCCTGTGGCAACTACTGGTTTGCTGTCTGTATTTATGAGCCTATTTTGTTCTGTTCGTTTGTTTTTTCATTTGATTTGTTTTTTAGATTCTGCATAAAGTGAAATCATATGGTATTTGTCTTTCTCTATTTCACTTAGCATAATACCCTCTAGATCTATACATGTTGCCACAAGTAGCAAGATTTCTTTTTTATGAGTAATATTCCATTATATATATATATACACACATCACATCTTCTTTATCCATTCATCTATCAATAGACATCTATAGATATTGCTTCTATATCTTGGCTGTTGCAAATAATGCTGCAATAAACATAGGGAAGCATATACCTTTTCAAATTAGTGTTATTGTTTTCTTCATAGCAATACCCAGAAGTGGAATTACTGGGTCATATAGTATTTCTATTTTTAAATTTCAAACTGTTTTCCATAGTGGTTGTACCAATTTACATTCCCACCAACAGTGCACAAGGGTTCCCTCTTCTCCACATCCTCAACACTTCTTATTTCATGTCTTTTTGATACTAGCCATTCTGACTGGTGTGAGGTGATATTTCAATGTGGTTTTGATTTGCATTTCCCTGATGATTAATGATGCTGAGCACCTTTACATATGCTTGTTAGCACTCTGTATGTCTTTTTGGGAAAAATGTCTATCAGTCCTCTGCCCATTCTTTAAACAGATTAAATTTCTTTTTTTTTGGTGTTGAATTTTATGAATTCTTCATATGTTTTTTATATTAACCTCTTACTGAATATTTAATTTGAAAATATGTTCTCCCACAGAGTAGGTTGCCTTTTGTTTTGTCAATGGTTTCTTTTGTTGTGCAGAAGCTTTTTAGTTTGATGTAGTCCCATTTGTTTATTTTTGCTTTTGTTTCCCTTGCCTAGGAAGACATATCCAGGAAAAAATTGCTAAGGCTAATGCCTAAGGGTTTATTGTCTATGTTTTCTTATAGGAGTTTTATAGTTTCAGTTCCTACATTTGGTACTTAATCCATTTCAAGTTCATTTTTGTGTATGGTGTAAGAAAAGGTCCAGTACACTCTTTTGCTTATAGCTGTCTAGTTTACCCAACACCATTTATTGAAGACTTTCTTTACCCCATGTACATTCTTGACTACTTTGTCAAATATGCAAAATTAATTGACCATACATAGGTAGGTTTATTTCTGGGTTCTCTAATCAGCTCCATTGATCTACATGTCTATTTTTGTGCCAGTACCATACTGTTTTGATTACTATAGCTTTGTAGTATAGTTTGAAGTCCAGGACCATGATACCTCCAGCTTTGTTCTTTCTCAAGATCACTTTGGCTATTTAGGGTATTTTTTTGTTCCATACAAATTTCAGGATGATTTGCTCTAGTTCTATGAAGAATTCCATTGGTATTTTGATAGGCAATGCACTGAATCTGTAGAATGTTTTGAGTAGTGGGACATTTTAACAATATTAATTCTTCCATCCATGAGCATGGCATATCTTTCCATTTATTTGTGTCATCTTCAATTTCTTTTATCTATGATGTCTTATAGTTCTCAGAGTACTAAACTATTTTTAACCTAATTTCTTTGTGTAAACTATAGGTCCTTGGTAATATACAATCCTTTCCATTCTATGAGTGCCCGCACAGGGCTCAAAAAAGTCTCATTTTCTCTTTAGATAACCAACCTTAGTTTCTGTTGCTTGCAACCAAAATACCCCTAATTTGTCCTCTACAAACTAGGGACAGAAAAAATTGTTAAATTAAGTTAAATAAATGCCACCAAGGATGTTTTAACACTTACATAGCCAAGACAGTCCCTTATTTCTCAGGCACAGCCTTGTATTTCATATTAATCTCTCCAAAGCTCAACTATCCAATTTTATCAAACTTTTAAATAAAGAGTAGGAGAATGATTGTTATAGGTCTTTGATGACAGAAAGAAAGAGGTGATAATCTGGACAAAATGAAGAGAGAAAAGCCATAAAATGCAGAGCCAAAAATTCAACAATCACAATGGTTTGTGTTGCAGTTGATCTGGATTAAAGTCCAATATAATAACCATTGTTCATGATGATGTCCTGGATCATTCAGAGTAGGTCTGATTTTCTGATATCTTCCATCTACAAAAGGCATAAAACCAAATAATTCATTTTAGTAATATTTCTAGCCTTAATGACTAAATTTTTTAAAAAATATGAAAGTCTGTAGGATGTTCATACCCAGTGCATTCATACATTCATTCAAGAAATACTTACAGAGCACCTACCATAGATTTGTCACTGTCTCACTGCTGAGGACAGAGGGGAGACAAGACAGATGAAATCTTTATTCCACTGGAGTTTACATTCTATGTGGGGAAGAAAACTTAAGCTTAAATACTTAATAAACAAGATAATTTTAGATAAAAATAAGTACTATAATACATATGGAAATATATCAGAATGATGCAGTAAACAGTACCTGGGGTAGCGGATATATCACATTGGGTGGCCATGAAAGGTCTCTTTGAAGAAGGAACACTGGAGATCATACCCCTCTTCCTGCATTTGCATCCCACCCTCCCATCTCCCAGAGATGCCCCTTCCAACCTTGACTTAGGGAGCCACTGACCAGCTTCCCTGGAATGAGGAAAAGGAAACAAAACAATCACATTCCTTTGCCAAAAAGGCATTTGAGTAAATCCAAGAGTTCTGGTTTCTGGAAGGAAGTTTTTGCATTACTTGGGCTAACATAGTCAATCTGAAGCCTGTCCAAATAAGACCCAGAAAATACATCAGCAATGGGTCAATGGCTCTCAGTGGAGAAGGCCTTTCTATTCTCCCTGGTTTAGCAGTCAAGGATCTGCACCCATACCCAGGAGTTAATAGACAAACAATGACTGTCATTAATTCAGCAGAAGGTTTAAAGCTGCTTTAGCCCTAGCTCTACACCCAGTTACCCAGAAATTCTAGGACCCAGGCTTTTCATGGCCTGACACTTTGACAAAAGCCATGTGACAAGCAACCTCTCAATGACACCTCCAGAGCCAGCAACTGTCCCACTCCGGCTCCAAAGTACAATCTGTGACTCCATTCATGCACTCCGATTGCCAACCCTCCTAGGAAGGTTACTTCTTTGTCCATGTGGACATCTGGCATTTTCCCCAAAAGGCTGGTAAAAAAAACTTTCAGAGCTTCCAGCTAAAATGTAGGAGCAGATTCCAGTTCTGCTTCACATGCCTCAGGAATGTGAGTAATCCCATTTAGGAAGATGCTTGATTAAGTTTTTAGAACCCAGATCAATTTGGTCATTCTTCAATCCTTACAGCATGGCCTGTCATGAGACGGAAACATTCCTAATCAAATATTGTCCTAGAGAGAAGTCTGGTTTGGCTGGTTCAAAGCACAGAGACAGGTTCCTGAAAGAAATAATAACAGCAATTCCCACATACAAAGACTCAGGCAGCTAGGACCCTGTGGCTGAAGGAGCCACATGTGCCACTAGACTTCTGGCCTCTGAGAGAAGCCAATATGTGCAAGGCAGCAAAAGGAAGGAACTCTGTCATCAGGCCCCACTGTGCAATTCACCCTCCCCAGCTGCCCAGCCTTGCAGGTGGGAATTCTTAAAAGCAAAATCATGAGCAATTCATAATATGAGAAGTGTGTTTTCCAATCATTTAACAAGTCAGGAGAAAAACCTCTCTTCTGATCTCCCCCTGCCAACGCAGCAACCTCCCATGGAATCCAGGAAAGAAAGCTAAGAAGCAGTAGCTCAGAGAATGAGGTGTCCCAGTATTGCAGTTCCAGCACCATCTCCCAGAGCCAGGTCAAGGAAAGCATATGGCTTCGGAGGTGGCAACCCAAGGTGTCACAGTCCTTGTCACAGCAGGGCAGGACAGAGGGATTGACTTTAAGACCAACTCTGGGTGACTTGAAAATGTCAACAGACAAGAATTCACTTTCTAAGTTATATCAAAGGAATATTTTTCCCCTGAGAGTACCTAGTGTGATTTGGCATATATGAATACCTGAATAGTTTCCCTCCATCACTGCTGAGGTGGAACAAAGGGGTCTACAAAGTGTGAAATGGGAAGTGGACGTGGTGGAACTTAATGCCAATTACCGCCCAAGTCATGCGGCTGGGGCTCCCATATCCTTACAGCTCCCCAAATCAGAATCTGATTAGGAGCTATTTTAGACTGCATTATGGAGTCTGCTCCAAATGCTTTCTAAACAAGGGGAATGCTATGGGCTGCCACCCATCTTTTCCTCCAGTTAATCATTTCAAGGACCTGTGTTGTGCACACGAGGTGACTATTAAGCAATTCACCCATTAGGGTATTTCTTTTTAATTTAAAGACTTGGCTGAACTTGAAAAGGATACTTCCCCCCACCGCCACCCACCCACCCACGTTTTAGTTTAAGTATCTCAGTTCATTTATTACAGTCTGTTAAAGGCATAAATAAGTAAGTTAATGCATTGGTGATAAAAGCCAAGGAAGTTATTTCTACTTTTAGAAAACATATTTGTATTAGGACGATTGTCCTTGATTACAGATCTAGAAACAATTATATACCCTACATTACTTTTCCCAGGTTGAGTTGTTTTCATTGCTTCAGAGGTGGAATAACTCATGTATTTGCTTAATTCTACTTCCTAGCTTTCCAATTTGGTGTATTTCTACTGAAGACCGTGGTGATTCCTTCGTGATTTTGTTTACTGGTGATTTTTGTTGGGGAGGGTCCTGGTGGGGAAGAAGGAGAGGTGTGATGTGAAAGTTAGAAAAGCATTTAGTGATATGTAGCTTTCCTCATATCTTTGCTGATTTACAAAATTACTCATAATAGACATATTCTTTCCCTCCAAACTGGCTTTCCACCTGCATCCATGTATCTGCCCAAAGTCAGAAGCCAGTTAGTTTTAGGATTTTCTTTCAACTTTAATACCCATCCACCTCCAATCAATCACCAAACCCAGTTGATTGTATCTCTGAGCTAATGCTTGGCTCCCAGCCTCCTCTCCAAGAGGAGTGCCAGGTACTGTGGCTGTTGTTCACATCCCTGTACATCTCACCAGGACTGTGAGCACGGGACTGTGTCCAGCCTCCCTAGTGCCAGCCTGGCCTCCCACAAATGCAGCCTCCACCCTGTGCCAGTGTGACTCTCTAAGCATAATCAGAACCCTGGCTGCCCAGGTTTACAAAGTCCTTCTCTGGAAGGGCACACTGAGGACCCTTTCTTGTCTTCCCCAGGCTGGCTAGAGGCCCTTCTCTAAAATGCCCCTTCACCCACCTCCTTTGTAAGGGATCACACTGTATTCGCTGTATTTTAGTTGTAAAACTATCTCCCTCACCAGTCCATGAGCATCCTGAAAGTTAGAAGCATGTCTTTCCCAGTGCTCCAGACAGTGATAAAATGCTCAGTGCTTGTAGGTAGAGGAAGGGAAGAAGGACCATAGGAAGCGCTTTGACCTTCCTGTGTTGTGACACCCCAAAGAAACCACTTGTCACCCTGTCAGCTAACTTCTTAAGAGTGAAAAAAGGGTATCCCAGGGGAGGGGCCATTGTCCAACATCCAAACCACACTCCCATTTGGGGGGATCCCCTCATCACAGGACCCACACTGAGAGGATCCTCATACTTTCCTTAACATTCTACTGTCACTAAGTTGAATTTCTTAAGTTTTTCATGAAGGGCCCCACATTTCCCTTTTTCACTGGGCCTTGCAAATTCTATAGCTGGTCCTTCCTGGTGGGTATGAAAGTCATGGGGGCTTGGGGCTCAGATCCTCCAACTTCCCACCCTATAAGAATAAGACAGACCAAGTCCCTGTCCTCTAATGTGTATATTCACCAAGCATTCATCATCTGAAGACTGAGTGGGTACTTCTTCCCTATCTATCTACTGCTATTCTTCAAAGCTATGTAGTCATTGATGAATTTAATGAAATGCATTTATTTGAAAGATTTCTTAGTTGGCAGTTCAGCATTTTATACATACATAATTGGTAGGAGAGAAAGTCTCAGCTGGGCTGGGTGTTAACATGTCCTTAACACTTTTCTAACCCTCACCAGATTTCCTTGGTAAACAATGGGAAGGCAGCTGCAGGCTCAGGAGCTTCCCCAAGCAGCATTGTCTGGTCAGACTTGACCACCCCTGGTACTTGCCTGCCCCAGCACCAGGTGCCCAGGCATATCTATGCATACCAGTGGATGCGCCCACCCAGGAGACGAAGGGGTGGTGAGGGCCTCTCATGGGGCAGCTGTGACAGTGCCTCTCAGCAGGAGAAGCAACGGATACTGACTATCCCTGCCTGGGTTCCTCTGCTCCTACGCGTCTTCCCAGGCAGCACCTGTGGGCAAACACTGATTGTGAGGGTCTCCCCAGATTTCCAATAGATTCCCTCTTCACCGAGGCAGCAGGGGCGGGCTGCTGCCTCTTGAAATAGGGTGTCTTCCTTCTTAAGAGATGGAAAGGTCACCACCACTTCCTCCGTTTCACTTGCCTCTGTCCCCGTGGAGGTCGGGACACACACCGATAAACAACACACCTGCCTTCAGGAGCACTTACACTTGCTGTGCACTAGCCCCAAGCCCACAGGTCACACATTTTTGCCATTTGATGAGATTCAGTATTGGTTCCCACACTCACCTTTCTCTCTAAATGCTCTTCCAGGTACTAGCAGCTAAGCATTATTTTAGTCTCACCAAGTGCTGCATCCTGAGTGGAGCATCATACAGCAAGCATGAGCACAGAGTCTGATACCAGACCGATAGGTCTGAACCTCAGATTCCACATCTGTGAGATGGGAACAACAGAAGAAGCCACTGCCAGCGCTGGTGTGAAACTAAGTGAGGTAAGGTATTTGCTGTACTTAGGCCAGTGAGAGGTAAGCACTGTTTGTGTTTCCTTCTATGGTTATTCCTTTATCCCTTAATCTCAGCACAGGAGGGAGGTTTTATTATTATAATAAACACCCTATTTTGCATGTAAGAGAACTGAAGGGCAGGAAGATTAAGGAACTTGCAAAACGTCACCTTTAATATGCAATGAGGCCATCAAAAATGGCCTGAGGTGGTCTAAATCCAAAGCTGAGCTTTCCACCTTCCCCTTGGGACCTCCTCGCTGACTCTAGTCCTCTGTAACCCTAGATATTTTCCAGGTCTAATGAAATTTTGCAATTCTTTGCCTGGGTCCCATTTGCATTAACCTGCCATCTTATAACAATGCTTGATGAACTGCATCTCGTTCTTCACTGAATCCTCTAACTACCAGTCAATTATGGAAGCTCAGGGTAGGAAGTCAGAAGAGGAGTAAAGGTTGGGAGTGAAGGGCTGGGGCCAGGTGGTGCTGGGGCTGTAAGATATTAT